TGCAGCTCTAAAGCAAGCAGACAAAATCATTTAAACCAATATACTAGAAAAGTTCAATGACCACCACACAGAGCCTGAGCAAAAAAGGGTGGGTGGACCCAACCGAGATTTCTTAGCTCAGTTTTTCTCAAAGCACAGTTAATCAGAAAGTAGAACATTAGCATGGCTTGGAAGGTCCTCGCTCAGACTACCCCAAAGCTACTAAATCAAAATGTAAGGTTTGAGGAGCAAAATGTAAGGTGTGGGGAGCAGCAAGCTGTGTTTTAATAAGCCCTCCAGGTGACTCTGATGCCCTCTAGAGTTTGAGACCTACTACCTTAGTTAATGCCCCAATCACTTAAGGAAAAAAAAAAAAAAAAAAAGGAGAAAGGAGGTGGGAGTTGTTAGAGATGAATCTCCCAAACAGGAAATTTAGTATGTATTAAGTAAAGTACACAGTTCACACCTGCATACCGTACTGGGAACTTTGCTAATTTTCCACAATGAGTAGTTTTTCCTCTGTGAGCTAAAAACACTGTAAGGCAAAGAAGAGCAAGTCAGTGGCCAATAGAATGGCTTCCTAATTTAGGATTATTTCTCAACAGTAAAATCTCAAGACATTCCAAACACGAAGAGGTTATTCTACTACTCAGAGGCGGCTACACAACCAATGGATCTCTTTCTCATTTTCTCCAGACTCCTCCCTGTTGACCAACATGGAGCATTTATGGGCTGTCCAGATAGAGTTACAGGATCTCTGGACATGCAACAGTCCTCTGAGTCAAGCTGATTGTCCAGGCTCAGGATGCAACCCTTGACCTGGGCCTAATTTAGCTGCCTAAGGAACTAAGCTAAATCATCCTCAGATCAAATTTTACACATAACACTGATCTAAGAAACTAAGAAAAATCACCCTGAGATCAAATTTTACCTATAAGGCTCGATGACTATGGTATGTTCTCTCTCACAGCCATCACCATGAAGCAAATGATACAAACGTTTGATGCAAGAAACACCCAACCAACAGGAAAAATCGAAAGGAAATGAAGCAATGTTAATATGCCATTGATAATCCAGCTTACATCCATAACCACTCTATGGTACAAAAATCTACTTACCTTTTATCTTCAGCTACGTTAAGCCTTTCATCTATAACCACTGCATCATCATATCCTTTAATTCAGATTCACAAAACATTCTGAGATAATGTATTTTTAAAATCAGTGAATGCAAGGTATGGTAAAAGTACTACTGACCAAAAATCCTAGTCAGACTTGCATTTTTCTAGGCTTTCTCCTCCTGACCTCTCCAAGGGGTAGGGTACCTACACATGGCCTCCTGGAATGTGAGAGATTTAACCAATTATTTGCCATAACAATACATTCTGCTTCAAGAAAACAGACTGCACACCTGCCCTATAGTCCCTATGTGAGTAGTCCCTTTCTTCTAAAACTCCCCCCTGCTGGGAAATTGATACGAAGATCAGTGAGTTAATGTTTGTCAAATACTTTAGGCTTCTCAGATAAAAGACAACAAAAAATTCAAATGACCTGTGCAGCTGGCATTACACTAGGTGTTATAGTTGACTCTGTATTCAGGCTTCAAAGAAGAAAATTGAGGCTGCCAAGAAACTCCTTTGTGAAAACTGGCTGGCTTTTGCACTCCCGCTAAAGGCAGGCAGTTATTCTAGCATTCTGTAATTAACTGGATTTCAACATTAGAGATGCAAAGACCCTTGCATAATACATTGGACCTTTGCTATAGTAAGGGGTATACAGGGAAAAAGAATCTTTTTCTCTGCCCTTTCTCCCTAAGTGGCTCTAGCTCCCTAAACTTTTACTGCCTGGTGGTGTAGCTCTCAACCTCCTCTAGTGTGAGGGACCACATGGCAGCTGCTAGCCAATGTGTTTGCTTTGAGCCAATAGACTGGAAAAAAAAAAAAGTCAAAGACAAAGCTTTATGTGTATGTTGGCACGCATGTGGATTCAGGCTGCTGAATAACAAACAAAGAACACATTCATGGCCACATACAACTCCTTGAACATATAAATAGCCATCCTTGACCTAGTCTGTCTGAGGTGCTGTTATATAGCATTACACTGAATTCTCCATAAATATCATGGCAAGCTAAATACTACTGGCTCTGTCTTGCATGTAAAGAAACTGAATATCAGAAAGATTAAGTCTGCCCAACATCACACAGCTAGAATGTGGCAGAGCTGGAATTCAAACCTGGCTCTATAGCAAACTCCCAAGTCTGGATCACGGCTCCAGTACACTGATAGCCTAGAAAGGGGTGCAGATTTTGCCAGACACACCCCTGGGACAACTTAACAAAGCCTCCTGGGGAGACAGGCAAAGTAAATTAAATCAATTTAAATCAGTAAGGGGGCAATCAGAAAGTTTTAGACATCAACTTCCTCCCTACCAAAGCTTTTGTGTTTGTTTTCCCTCATTCCTTAATTGGCTAATTAAGTGTTTCATCCTCTTCCCTGTCTTATATCTAACAAAGTGCATTGCAGTGTTCTGAGGCTGAGAATGAATTTTTTTAAATACAGTAGTTGGTGACCATTTAATGAAGTTCAAATGCAGGGATTTGATCAAATTCTTATTCAAAAGGACAAGAATATGGAACTCAGGTAAGCTATCATGTGTAATCAAAGGGTTGATACTTGCATCCCTGGAGCAAACTTAAGCCAAAAAGCAGACAATGAAGGAAAAAAAAAAAAATAACTTCACAGTTCTTAAATCTTGTCCCATTCATTCAGGGCAAGCAAGAAATCTTCTAAAAATTCTGATTTTCCTCTGAATTATTTATGGTTTTTCCATATCAAAATAGTTTTCCCCAACTGTTCTTGCTATTGTAGTTGTGCATGCAACATCGTAATAATGGAACCTGGGCGGTGATCTTGGATTAGCTGAAAGGGCTTCTCCTTAGCCACTTCTCTCACACAGGTGCTACACCTTCAGGAAAACCATCAAGGGGGCTGTTCTTGAGATAAGACAAGGTGCTGGTAGAGGGCCTGGATAAACATGTGAAGTTGCAGGAAGCTAGTGTGCTCTTCCCACTCTGATGTACTCTCTGAGATTGCTGAAAGCTAGACGTCTGCCACCTTAGCCAAGACTCAGCCACTATGAATACTACTACAACACTACTTCAACCCAAGTGAAGAGGCACTGCAGAAAGACAAGCCTGTACAAAATGCTATTATGCTATAAGGACATTTTCTAGGCAGGATGTGCTGAATTCTGGGTCCATGAGGCTACAACCACCTGCAGGAAGAGTTCAGTCTTAAGTTTCAGAGAAAGCAATGGTAGTCCTCACCCCTCTGGTAACACAATAAAGTTGAGTTTTTAAAGTAGAGAATACTACAATGAACAGCATCACATAAGCGAACTAATTCTGCACATCATGACCATCCATTCAGATTAGGCAACAGGACATCATTCAGCTCCGGGCTGTGAAAGTTGTCATTTCTATAGCACAAGCTGTTAACCACATCACCAAATAATAAGGGAACTTTTAATACAAGGTCTGTAGCACTGCCGTATTGTCATCCCCTATTGCTGTCAGGTGTCTCTTTAAAAGGAATCAATATCATTTTAATGAACCAGACATGGGTCAATTAATGTCAATTAAAATGGGGACTGCTGCTGGTGGTAGAAATGCATCAGGTACAGAGGCATTTCCAAAGAGGAATTTTTGCTCCTCTGAAAGCTACCAGTAGTTCCCATAAGCATGTAACGCTTCTAGTTTAATTTCTAGTATAAGGAAAGGAGGAGAGACTGCTATGCCAGCAACATTGCCCCAACCCACCCATAAATCTTCCTTGGGTCCCAGACAGCTAGGAATGACTTTTCTGTTCTCTTTGGGTTCACTTCTCATTAACTGTTTCCTCTACAAGGAGTGTTTGCTCTAAACACTCCACCAAGAGAGGACCTCTTCAGCCCCAGGACCAAGCCTCCCCCCAGAACCCCTCTGCCACCACACAGTAGTTCTCCATCAGCCTACAGGGCTGCAGACTCCTGTACTGTGATCTTGCTCTAGCAGCGTAGAAGCTCTGATACTCGGTTTGTTGAATGAATGACTGAACTGAACTAATCCATTTCACATATTAACACACTGGTGGAAACTCCATAAGCATACACGCTAGACCTGCAGTCTAGAGATTCTTCACCTTCGCTGGGAATCCCAAACAGCCAGTTCCTCAACAGGCTGGAGTTGAAAACCTACAATCTCCTTAAATTGTAGGTAAGTATGGGGGTGGGGGTGACAGGAACTGAAGGAAGTGTGAGGGAAAGGGAGGTAAGGACAAGGCTGCCTCATTGCTCTCTCCAGAAGAAAAGGTAGAAAACCCACAAGTATTCAAAACCTAGGTTTAAGAGTCACGTGGGAGAGGGGGTGGTTAAGACGCAGAATTTTGGAAGTCAGAGCTGGTCTGAAAGTACGTGGCCACAGGTTTTTTCCCTATGAGCCTGCCCGACCACCCAAGTAGGAGCCAAGACACTCGGGAGTTCGGTGGCACGGCTGGGGCCTAGTGGAATGGCATGAAAACTCCTCTCCCTTCCAAATCCTATCCTAAGCGAGGACCTGAAGGGGAGTCGGGGAACTGCATTCCCCGCGTGGGCGACAGCAGCGTCGTTTGTCTCTCATCCTCCTGGCCCCACGGTCTAGCTATCTCTGGCAGCCCTTGGCCGGCCCTCTCACGTCCCCAAAATGCAGACGGGATCTGAGAGGAGGGGGCGAGGGAGTTGGGTTTAGCCACAAACTCTGCAAACTTCCCTTACCTTCCAGCTCACTTCCCAAATAAGCGGTGCGCCCTGTGGCCCGCAGCTCCCACCGGGAAAGAAAACGCGCGGCCCGGCCACCCTGCGCCCCCGCTGCCCTGCCTGCCAGGCGTCGGAGACCGCCAATCTCAAGTTGGTGTTGCCAGCGTTTGCCCAAGTCATCTGCAAGGCGCCCGGAGCACCAAGGCTACCCGCGATCTCGGCCCGATTTCCCCGCCTCGGGTCGGGCTTACCTGCTTACATGACCCCGTGGTGCCCGGAGTCCCGCGCGGAAAGGCTGTCCTCCGCGGCGACGGAGCCCCAATTCCCCACGGAATTGATTCCAGTGGCTGGCGGAGGAGGGGAGGAGGGAAGCAGCCGCAGGAGGCGAAAGGGGAGGGAGGTTTCCGCTGAGGTCCGGACGCGAGAGTCGGCTCAGGGGCGCACCGGCGAAGGGGAAAGGGAGAAGAACCTGAGTACCCGAGCTGTCCCGCCCGAGGGGACCGGGATCAGGAGGCCAAGGAGGATGGGTGAGGTGGGAGGGGAAGGACCGCCAGCGGCCACTTTGTGTGTGCTGCTCCCAGAGGACCTGCCCAGGAGAGGAGGCAGCTGAGACCGGAGGAGCGCAGCAACCTGCCCCCGATACTGCGCCCGCTCGGCCGAGAAAAAGTTGGGAAGAACTTTGAGGGGCCGGGAGAGCCAGAGCGGCAGGAAATGCGAGCAGCCGGGAGAGGAGGGAGGAAGGGGCCGTTCGAGTGGGAGGGGACGGAGCAGGCGCCGGCGGCCGTGGCTCCCCCACCCCCGGGCCGGGCTCAGCGGCGCTGGGGGCCGGGAGGCGGAGGGAGCTCGGGGCGCGTGGCCGGGGCGGAGAGGAATGCGGACGGCGAGGACGCGCATCGGGGGCGCGGGCGCGCGCGCGGGGGAAGCGCTGAAACGTGGAGCCCAAGCTCCGGAGCTGGAGGCGCGCTGTCCTTGGGGACGTCACAGCGCTGGAATCCAAGGAATGCCGGGCTGCAGGAGTTCTTTCTGCAGGCCCGGGAGAAGTTGCTTACTTTTGATGGGGTAGCTTTGGAAAATGTTTCCAAAGGTGGGGACTGAAGACAAGATGAGACTCCATGGAGTAAGAGACGTAGGAGGGGAGAAGGCTAGGAGACCGTAGTCAGCCCAACTCTGCGCTGTTCCAGAGGTTTGAGGGAAAGCGGTAAAGACAGGAAGATCCCACCTAGATTTCGTAGACTGCAAGAGCGGGAAGGTGGTAAGAACTAGCCCACTCAGACCCGGAGCAACGACAGTCCAACTTATTTTGGGAGATCCTCCAAGCAGGATGCACCCATGCAGCCACAGCACAGGGGAGGGCAGTCCTGGAGACATTTAGGTGGCCTCACTGAGCAGGCAGTCCCAGAGATCTCTCCTAAAAAAAACTGGAACCTCTGGGTAGTGTGATTGTGTCTTTCTTCTATCTTTCCCTCCACCCTCGTAATGGCCAAAGCAGACTGTGCTGAAAGTTGGAATATGTCGTTTTCCCGGTTTGTTCCATGCCACAGAATCGCCCCACCCTGCCCGGGTAGGCACTGGGAGGGAACTTCCTTAGCACTTTCGGAGGTGGAGTTAATGAGGCGCAGCTGGTATGATGGAAAAAGCACCGAGCCAGGCAGGGAACCTAGGTTTAGGCCCTTCCCAACTTGTGATGGATAACTGAGGAATATCCCAACCCCCGAGATCCTTGTTTCTGTAATTATAAAGTTGAAGGGATTGCCTACATTTCTGTGGTCCTTTGCATTGCTCCAAACATGTCTGGGCAGCTGTTATCTCACCAGGACTCAAGCCCAGTCCTTTCAACATTTCAAGGACCTTGAAGTCCTTGTCACAGAAGATACTGTATCAAATTACTTTCCAACAACTCCTACAATTCCAGGCCTTTTGGGAAAGAGAACGGGAACCAAAAGGCAAAGCCTACTTGTACCCACCATGTGTAACTCTGTAATGACCTCGACTTCTGTGACCATTGGCCAATGTCCAGAATTTTAAAGAAGTCGAGAAGAATAGAGGGGCCATAAAAATGATGGAAGGAAAAGGGTAAAAGGAAATAAGGTCAGTTTCTCAAACTTTCAAGGAAATCACTGTATATAGTTGCTAATTTTCAAAAGAAAACATTAGTGAATAACATAGGGTATCGCAAAAGACTGGAAAAGCACTTTACTTGATCCTCCATCTTTAGCCCCATTTTCCAGAAGAGGAAGGGAAGACAGGAAGAGATTACCTGTCTCACCAGGGGGTCTCGCAGCAAGTGAAATATGATAATGAACCCCAGTCCCTCTGGCCCAAAGTGCCTGCTCTAAATCTCTAAAATTTGACAAAAACAAGATTAGGATTTAAAGATAAGGAAACTCCTGCAGACTCTAAGTGTGAAATCCAGAGTGCTGTTCCTTCCTGTGAGATGGAAGGTCTTTTGGCTTCATTCATAGTAGAAAGGAAGTAGCAGATGCACATTGTTGGTCTGAAGTCACTGTGATACCAAACTGAGCACAACACCCTGAGGCAACTGAATTAAAAGAAAGAGCAAGTGATTTGCATGCAGACCCAAGAATTCAGTTCTGCCTCAGACAGGACATGTGACCCTGAGCAAACCATTCACTTGATGCTTGAGTTTATTTTATAAGTGTAATATAGAGCACAGAGCTTGATTGGATTAGTTCATCTCTGAGGTCTTTCTCAGGTCTGAACTTGCATGAACGCGTGTACTCCTCCAGAGAGAGGACGTGCCTATGGAGGAAGCAAAGCAATAAAGCCAACGTTGAGTAGAGAAAACCACACATACCTTCAGATCAAAATGAATATTGAGAGGCTGGGGTTTGGCTCAGTGGTACAACACTCACCTAGCATGTGTGAGGCGCAGGGTTCGATCCTCAGCACCACATAAAAATAAATAAATAAAATAAAGGTATTGTGTCCAGCTACAACTAAAAAAATTTAAAATAAATAAAATAAAGTTAAAAAATAAATATTGAGAATTCAGTGAATGTTGCTGAGTGTTCGGTGAGAAGTAAAACTATGGTTTAGCAATAACCCTGTGAACTAATTTTCAATATTTAAATAAATATAATAGTAAAAAGTGTATTATTAAATGTAAAGCCTTTCAGGTGCATGCATCTTACCAGCTACATTTCTTTTTCTTTATACTACAGAAAGGCAATACAAATAAGGTTTTTTTGTTTGTTCTGGATTCTCTCTTTTTCTTTCTCTCTCTCTATTTTCCTCCTGTGCTAGGGATTAAAAAATTGCTAGATTATCATTGAGCTCTTCCCCCAACACAATAATAATAGTCATTTTGTTTGTTTATTTGTTTGCTTGTTTTTCTTTTTTGGTACTGAGGATTGAACCCAGAGCACATTGCCACTGAACTACATCCAGACCCTTTTTATTGTTATTTTGAGATAGGATCTCACTAAATTGCTGAGGCAGGCCTCAAACTTGTAATCCTCAGCTGGGGGTATATCTCCATGGTTAGAGTTCTTGCCTAGCATGCATGAAACCCTGGATTCAAGATTCAATCCCCAGCACTGCAGCAACAACCAAAAAAGAAGAAAGAAAGTATAACTTGAAGGGATAAAAAGCTTTCATTCTCTTTGTAGGTATAGACAGAAATCTAGAAAAGCTAGTCATAGCTTCTTTCAAAAAGTCAACCAATTTCCTAAATCTGCATCACACTCAAGTATCCCTAATATGCATCAGGGTGAGCAGAAGTTGGATTGATGGGATAGGCTCTGAACATATCAGCCCATCCATCACTACATGTTTGCTTTAAAGCTTTGCAATTTTAGGAACTTGTGGATGTTTAATTTTCCAAAGCAATATTTCTACTTGTTCTGAGCCTAATTCAAACTAAATGCAGGATGCAAGCAGAATCTCAGGGGCCTCCATGATTCCTCCCACCTCCAATATGTTCTTGTCATTAATGTATTAATTTTATACCTTCAAAGACACTGAAAGTAAATAAGTTCCTGAATTGAAGCAAACTGGAAAGTAAGCAGGTTATTTGATGATCTCCAGAGGCTTTCTGCAGATTTTAGTTATATGCAAACACACAGGGAAATGGGGAGCTTTTTCAAAACACTCATTGTCTCTGAATCCTTTGCTTTCATATCTTATTCCTAGATCTGGGGTAAAGATAGGCTGGGTTGTGTGAGTGCATAATATTTTTAGTGTTTTGTTGAAGTACAGTTCATATTCAGTAAATAGCACAAAACTTAAGTGTGCATACAGCTGAAACATACAGCTCAAACACTTCTTCCTATATGTACCACTACCCAGGTTAAGACATGGAAAATGTCCATTATCACAGGAAATTCCCTATGTAAATTTTTAATCAGTATCACCCCTCTACGGTATCTTCTGCCCCCAAAGATTTGTCTTGCTAATTCTCAGACTTTCTGTAAATGAAATCATATGGTATTTATACATAATGCCTATATCTGGGAATCTGGCTTCTTTGGCTCAAAGTTTTATTCATGTTAATGAATGTGTGAGGAGTTTATTCCCTTTTCTCGCAGAATAGATTCCATTGTGTGAACATGACACAGTTTGCAGGTTCATTCTCCTGTTGACATATTGGGTAGGTATATTTTAGAAACAGTTCCCAAGTAATTCTGTTATGCCTGCAACCTTCAATTCAGAACCACAAATATACAGCAAAAATATAACTCAATCAGCTTAGATTACTAGTACCTAAAACAAACAAAAAAAAAAGTTAACAGAAAAAACGAAAGAGAACATTTAAGAACAACTACACTTAAGAATGCTTTGGGGCTAGGGATATAGCTCAGCAGTAGAGCACTTTACTAACATTCATGAGGCCCTTGGTTCGACTCCCAGCACTGCAAAAGAAGAAAAGAAAAAAAAATGCTTTAATGGTAGTATACATTCAGAGCTTTTTATTGACAAAAGCCAAGTTAGGAAAGTCACTGAACATGAATTCCTTGCTATCTAGTGTTTTTCTTAAACTGTATGATTATGCAGAACTGTAACATACAACCGCACAAAGGTATACAATACAACTCCAGGAGCTAAAATAGACTCCAATATAAGTGACATCCCTGAAGTGTGCCATGATCTGGTGATTTCCCCTGTAAAAATAGCTTCTTGGTATTTGCTCCAGGATGATGTTTGCTGATACAGAAGACTGAGCCCTCCTTCCCTCTTGGTTGCATCTTTGAGATCTTTCAGTAAGGGGAAACACCTTCAGTAAGGTGGAAGAGAACACCCATAGTTCAGCCTACTTCTGGTCTGTTGAAGCCAGGAAGGCTCTCTACTCTACAACATTGATAAAGTGGACAAAAGGAAGACTTTTGCAAAGGCATAGATAAGACAAAATTGAAAGCCTTTTATTTGGGGTTGCTCACCAGCCTCTTCTGGAGGTCCAGGATACCAGCCCCTTTTATGTAGCATGTTATCTCCTGTTTCATTTTTACTCATCTCTCAAATTTCTCATTCCAGATGTTCCCCTATCCCTGACCACTTCTCCATCTCATTTCTCTTTCCTCTTTTCTCTATCTTCCTCTCAGTCAAGGCTCCCCGTTTTCCAAAGGGACCACCTCTTATGAGCCCCTGTTCTGTGCCTGCTAATCTAGGCCACAAATGAATTATTTCCTTTGGGAAAGAATGCCAAGGTTTAGATTGCATATATTCAATCTGGGAGGAGAAAGATGGAGTGTCCTTCTGGGTCAATATGCCAGCTCCTCTGGCACCAGTGGCTAACCTGTGGGCCATGATGTAAGGTAGAGTCATGACATTGCAAAGGCAGGAGCACTGATTTTTTTTCCCAAGATTCAGACAATTGTTTATTTTTTATAAAAATTC